CGAAATTAATTGAAGAGATCCTTATAACAATTTTCCCGAGGATTTTAAATTTCAGCCAATCAGATCATTTTATCAACCATTGAGAAAGGCAATTGAGAGTTTGATTATTAGCGTTAGTAACAAATTACCCCTAATGTACGTATCAGTCGGTACATGAATTTATCCCTATCGGGATTAGGGATGGACTCGGTTGGTTACGGTCGGTTATCGGTCAGTTATTACCAGCTAGCCGCTCATAGCCGGCTAGCCGCGGCTATAACCGATCAATTATTTAATTATTTCATCAAATATTTAAGGGTAGAGTACAACATTGATCATTTTTATATATAATTGGTTGTAACTTTTTACAAGTTTTTGTTATATTTAATTTTTTGAAAAAATATATTAAGTAAATAATTTTTAATCTTATTAAAATTTTATTATCTGTCCGGAATAAAACGAATCTGATTGGTTAATCCTAGGTCCCATGACCAGTGCATGTTAGTTTGATATAAGTATCGTATCACAAACACGTGAGTATGCATTTTGGTAATTTACACACAACGCGTAATTAATTATTAATTAATAATTATTATGTTAAAGTTCAGTTATCGGTTTTTATGCTACTTATTAGTTCATACTTATTAGTTTCAATGAGTATTGCATTCTGACTTGCATTTTCTTCCATACGATATTATACTTAATTTATGCTTATAATGCATCGATATTTGAATTCGCCAGGGCGACCATGAAAAGCTTTGGTCATGTGATTATCAACAAAATAAGTTAAAATTAGGGTTTGGGCTAGAGTTAATGTTTGGGTTAAGGTTATTAAGCTTATATAATAGTAAAATTACTTCAGGAATTTTTATATTAGAGTCTAACGACCAGTTTCTTGCACAAATTTTTAGGATAAACCATTTTTTGACAAACAAACTTTTGTTTTGGATTGCCTGGTTGTGTTACATTATACTAAATTACAATACATCATCATTAGTTAAATTGTTGTCGATCATCACATGATTGAACCTTTTGTGGTCGCCCTGACATGTCTATAAATTCAATCCGCATAGTCTAACGCATATTTTATTCACAGTTTTTGTAAATTTTATTCATTTCCATAATATGTCACGAAAGGCACATTACCTTACAGAAGAAGAATAAAGAAAGGCAGATGCTAATAGAAAGCGCAAAAACAGAATTATGGAAACAGAAATACAATGTCACCAAAGATGCCAGCAAGATGCGGATGCTCATTGACAGCATTGTATTAATAATCCTCATATACACAACTTGGTCCGTAACTTCTTTGAAGGTGTTAAAGGCACAAATTCAGATAACTCTTCTTTTTCGTATTACATAGATTTTAATAGCAGAGCTAACTGTATTCATTGTAATACATTATTATTGCTCATGGAAAGTCCTGGGATGTGCTGTTCAAATGGGAAGGTAGTACTAACAGAATTAAATGCACTTATATTTTTAAAGCATCTTTTTCCAGTCATGATAATAAATCTAAAGATTTTCGATATAACATCTGTCTTTATAATTCTGCATTCGTTTTTACATCTACTGGTGTTAAAATCGATTATGAGCTTGCTAATGAAAAAAATAGTGTTTATACTTATTATGTTCAAGGTTCTTTTTACCATAGAATTGGTGCACTACGGCCAGAAAATGGTGTTAAACCTTGTTATTTACAAATATATATTTATGACACACAACATGAACTACAACATCGAATAAATGCAATTCCAAACTCTAATCTAGACTCGACTATTATCCAAAATTTAACAACTATGTTTGATGAAATAAACCTCTATGTAATAAATTTTCGATACATTTCTAAACTGCCTGCTAAAAACTTTAGATGCTTATCTATGCTTATTCATGCTGATATTCTTGGTCTTGATCAAAGAACTTATAATAACCCGACAGCTTCTCAGGTCGCAGCAATCTGAGTTAACAGTGAAATGCCTTCTGATATAGTTCAAAAGTGTGACATTGTACTGCATACAAATATGGGTCAATATGTATGTATTTCTGAGCTTAATGGATGTTATGACCTACTAACTTATCCAATTTTATTTTTATATATCGAGCAAGAATGGGCTCCCTATCAGATTCCCTATAAAATATTTCTCTGATACCTGAAATAACTAATGTTAATATAGATTCGGAAGAATATATAGAGGATAAAAATAGAGATATCATTGATGAAACTTCTGATGATGATAATGGAAATAATATAGAAAATGGAAATAGTAGCATAAAACAACGTAGAAAATTCGAGAGCACAATGGAATTCTATGCATATAAGCTTCAAATTCAACCTATGTCTAATAATCTACTTTTACAAGCTGGGTGACTATTTCAGCAATATATAGTTGATATGTATGTTAAGATAGAATTAAATTATCTAAGCTTTCATCGGAAAAATCAAAACAAGATTAGAAGCAACTTATATCAAGGTCTTCAGGATGCAGTTCTATATTGTGATAATGATCCAAGGTGCATTGGTCGAGAGTGGTTCTTCCTGCTACTTTTATTAGAAGCCCTCGTGATATGATTCAGAGATACCAAGATGCAATAGCCTTATTAAATATTGGTAGACCCGATTTATTTATCACCATGATGTATAATCCACACTGGCCAGAAATTCAAGCACTAATGCCATCGGGACAAAAAGCTCAAGATCGACCAGATATTTCAGGTAGTTTTAGAAGCATTCGTAATTTAATTTTTTATATTTTTATATTTTATTTTATTTTTAAAATTTTAATTTTTTTTATAATACACATGGGATAATATATATATATATAGATTAATATTATTACTTTATAAATACTTCTCTATTGTATCATATTTGTCTTCGCTTTTTGTAACATGAATTTTTCAAGAAAAGCTCCAAGAATTAAAAAAGGATCTTTTCGAGCATGGTGTTCTTGGACGTGTTATTGTGCATATTTATGTTATCAAATTTCAAAAACAGGAACTCCCACATGCCCATATTTTGGTTATACTACATCCTGAAGACAAGACACAGATAACTAAAAACTATAACACTATTGTTTGTGCTGAGATACCCAACCCAGTAGTTAATCCCAAAGTATATGATTCTATTTCTAAACATATGCTTTATGAACCATGTGAAGAACTCAACCTTAATGCACCATGTATGATTGATGATGGCATGAGATATAAGCAATGTTCCAAAGAGTATCCTAAGCAATTCCAAAATGAAACATCTCAGAGGAAGAATTCTTATCCTATATACTGTCATTATCAGGATAATCGTTATGTTGAAATAAATGTAGGAAGTAGAATAGTCAAGTTAAATAATTGATGGGTCATTCTATACAATAACTTCCTCAGTGCAAAGTACAACTGCCATATTAATGTGGAAATCTGTGCTAGCATTAAAGCAGTTAAATATTTATTCAAATATGTTTATAAAGTTTACAATAGGATTATGATTGAAGTTACTAAGGAACAGTGGCATTATGAGACACAAGAACAACCAGTTATAATTGACAAAATTCAAAATTTTTTAGATGCACAATGGATCTTAGCTCCAGAAGCAGTCTGGAGAATTCTAGGATTTTGAATGAATAAAATAAATCCAGCTGTTACATGTTTGCACTTACATCTTCCAAACCAACAAAGAATTATTTTTAGTAAAAGTAGTGTCCTTACTGAAGTGATTGAAGTAAATCAGAATAATCGTACAACTCTCACTGAGTACTTTAGAATGAATACAGAAGATCCAAATACAAGGAATCTGCTCTATGCTAATTTTTCACTATATTATACTTGGAATAAGACAACTAAGAGGTGAAAAAAGTTTAAGTGTAAAGGTTGTATTGGAAGAATTTATATGGTGCACCCAAATGAAGGTCAGTAAATACAATCTTAATTTTATTTAATAAACTAACAAATTAAATTTATTATTAAGAATTATATTATTTTTCCAATATATAATTTAAGTCATTGTTTATCTAACGATTATTATCAGTAATTTATTGCTACAAGTTATAACAATCACTTTTCTTGCAATTATTCTAATAATATTAAATATATAGTGTAATGAGATAATCTAAAAATAAATTTTAGGTAAATGATTGTGTTAGAAAATATAAGGTAAATAATCGTTATATAAACAGAAACCTAAAAAATACTTATTGAAAAAATAAAATAACTAATTATTGATAAAGGTAAATAAACAAAGGATCTCTGAGCTTAAAGCTAAATTAATGTACTACTTAGAGTTTAGAACTGGCTTTATTTTTATACATTAAATTGGTTTTAATATATAGAAAATAAAGCCAGTTCTAAACTCTAATACTACTAGGCGAATGATATTATTTTCGATTATTATTGACCAAAGTAAAGGATACTAAAAGTTTTGAAGAACTCAAAATAGTAAATAGCATTACATGCACTACTTTTAAGGAAAGTGTTCAGTGTAGAGGTTTTCTAGAAAATGATAATGATTACCGACATTGTATGGCTAAAGCAAGAAAATTCTGAATGCCTAACCAACTACATGCACTTTTTACAATACTATTGATTTTCAGAGATATTTCAGATGTACTACAATTATGGGATGAAAATTTTGAAGCAATGGCAGAAGACTTTACGCATAGAGGGATTCCAAATAATCAATTCCAAATTTAGGCAATACTTCAAAGCTTAAATATCTTATTGTAAAGACATTCAAAAACTGTTATTGATTATGACTTACCAGAATTGCTGCCTGAAACTATTAATAGAGAATTACCAATAATGCTTATAGAAGAATTGTCTTATAAAGTAATATCAAATGACTTTGCTAAAGCAAATACATTAAATGAATCTTAGCGTACAGTATTCGATGAGATACTTAATCTTATTAATCAAGGCAAGAGTGGCATGCTATTTGTAGATGGTCCTGCTGGAAGTGGAAAGACCTACCTTTACAATTGTCTTCTCTCTCATGTACGTGCTAACAATTAAATTGCATTAGCAGTAGCTTCTTCTGAAATAGCAGCATTATTATTGTGTGGTGAACGTACAGTGCATTCTTACTTTAAAATACCAATCACAATTCTTAATAGAAATGCGACCTGTAATAATGAAAGAGGAACTGATTTAGCAAAATTACTTCAAGAAGCTGCATTAATCATTTGGAATGAGGTTTCAATGACACATCATCATGCTCCAGAGGCAGTTGATAGTACTTTAAAAGATATTATGGAAAATAATCTTCTATTTGGCAGTAAAGTAAATTTGTTCAGAGGTGACTTTCAGCAAGTTCTACCTGTAGTTTGTAAAGGTTCTAGAGCCCAAATTGTCAATGTCACTCTCAATAAATCTCATTTGTGGCAACATATTTGTGTCTTTTCCTTATCTACTAATATGCAAATCTCTCAAACCACATCTCATGAGGCAAAGACATTTGCAGATTATTTACTTAATATTGGTAATAGCACAGAACCAACAACTGAAAATAATCTAATTCGCCTTCCTGATGAAATAGTTATTTATTCGCAAAGCAATAAGGACTCTATTAACTCACTAATAGATGCTATATATTATAATCTTGCTAAAAATATCACAAATACTACATTTATAACCAAGAGAGCAATATTAACCTCATTAAACAGTGATGTTGAAGAACTCAATAAACAAATAATGGCTAAGTATTCTGGAGAATTACATATGTATTATAGCTTCGATTCGGTGCCAGAAGATAATCTTAACTTATATCCTATTGAATACCTTAATTTTCTAACACCTTAAGGCCTTCCTCTATACGAACTTACACTAAAAATTTGCACTCCAATTATGTTACTTAGAAACCTTGATCCTGTTAATAGACTCTGTAACGAGACAAGGCTTATATGTAGGGAATTTCAAATACAAACAATCAATACAGAAATAGCAACAGGTGATTATCAAGGAAAATGTGTATTCATTTCTAGAATCTCTCTTCTATCATCTGAAGATATAGGATTGCCATTTGTATTAAAAAGAAAACAATTTCCTGTGAGGCCAGCATTTGCTTTAACTATCAACAAGTCTTAAGATCAAACTTTATCTCATGTTGGCCTATATCTTCCTAAGCCAGTTTTCTCTCATGGCCAGTTATATGTCACTATGTCAAGGGTGTGTAAAAAAAGTAATTTAAAGGTATTGGTTAAGAATGGTTCAATCAAAGGTAAAGTTGGAACTTATACGCAAAATGTCATATTTAGAGAATCTTTAATATTATAAAATATCATATTGAAAATCAATATTCGATATTTTCTTTATTATATAACTAACTATTCTCTTATATTCTAAGTAATTATTATGATAAATATAGGAAAACAACAAATATCAGCTAACTATAAATTACTGTAATTAATAATAAACATATGAAAACTGATATTTGTCGCTTTCTTAAAGCAAAATACTTAAATTAATTATTTAAGATGTTTGTCAATCAAAAAAATCTTTAATGAAGTACCACTTTTTAAAATTTAATATCAGCAGTGACAATAAATTTTATTATGAAAGATGGTTACTACTGATACTAAATCCTAAAATAGCATGAACTAAGATGTTCTTTAATTGATAATAATCTTATTTTAAATGATTTAACAAAAGTTGTAACACTATAGTAATTACTTTTACCTTTTTTTATAAGTAACTCTTCTAGGCACATTCTCTGTACTTAAAAAATTAAATAATATATCAGCCGATTTAGCAACTATTTAATTTCAGGGTGCTTGATCAAAGATCGATATTAAAAAATTACATAACAGCAAGATATTGTTAATATTAACTTTTAAATGATCAAAATTTAATTTTAGGTCAAATAATAATAAACCGAATATATAAAAATTAATCAAATAATATTACTTAAAACTATATTTATTTATTTTTTTTTTTTAAATATTAACGATAACTATATTTATTTCAGTATATATATAATATAGATTTAACTATTACAGGGGTGTGGCAACCTAGTGAAGTGGATAGGTTGTCAACCCCCAAGTGGCAGGTTTAGAGTTCAAATCTCAGTGACGGTGAAAATTTGCAATTCTTTTTGTGTTACGGCTAACTGTCTTCTGTGATTGGTTGGGATAGGATACCTGTAACCCGTGTCATACCAGCCTGACTGGAA